ACCCAAAACATTAACTCTGATTTCTCTCCACAGATGCTCCCAGACCTGCTGAGCTTTTCCAGCAGTTACTGACTGTTTCTGATTTACAGAATCTGCAGTTCTTTTGGTTTTTATTATAGAAGCTGTTTCCACTATTTCAGAATCTTGCCAGCTAACACATTTCAGTCTCATGTTTTGAAGTTCTGTTGTTCAGGAGACAAAGCTCATGGCAAACTCTTGGAATGGCATATGGTATAAATTCTACAAATTTTCTGGCAAAATTGGGACTTTTTTGTCCCTGCAAATTTAAAATCTGCATCCCTGGGAGTGAAATTTATCTACACTCTTATTGTATGTAATGTACTGTATCCATACAGTTGTTTACCTTGTGCTGACAGGCTGTGGATGAGCTCGTTCTCTGTGGTTGCATGTAGAGAAAATGAGCGTAGGTAATCCGGGACAAAAACGAAGTTGCTGGAAAAGCCCAGCAGGTGTGGCAGCATTTGTGAAGGAAAAAACAGTTAACGTTTTTGAGGAAGGATCACTCGACTCGAAACATTAACTCTGTTTTTTCCTTCACAGATGCTGTCAGACCTGCTGGTGTTTTTGTTCCTAATTTACAGCATCCGCAGTTCTTTCGGTTTTTATAGGTAAACCAGGGGTTCTACATTGCTCAAGAGATTGGATCATGAGCACATTAATATTTTCAGGTTCTCCTGTTTCAACTATGACCTGTTTCAGTTCGAGCAGTGCTATATTAGGGTGCAGTTATATTGAATTTAAATGTTATTTTAAAAGGAGCTCAATAAATTTGGTAATCCATTCCACTTTTGGTTCCAAGACTTGTCTGTACGTCAGCCTTGTAGTGAACTATATAAAGTATCAACAGTTAACTGTTATGATCTAATTCAAACTATTCAGTAAGCTTTATTCAGTTTAATATTGGAATTGACAATTACATATATGTTAACTGACTTGTAATCTCTTCAAGGATGATTGAATTTTACAACTAGCACAAGGTCACTAGACCATCACCACCCATTATGGAGCGGAAGTAGATCACTTGTTCCTTTGAGTTCACTCCACCATTCGATAAAATTCTGGCTGATCAGCTTGTGGCCTGAACACACACACTCTGTCCATTTCTAGTCCTCATAACCTCTGACGTGCTGTCAATCAAAAATATCTCTAACTCGGCTTTGAATGTAATAAAAAAAAAAAAACCTGCTTCCACTACTCACTGGGCTAAAGAATTGCACAGGTGGATAGTCCTCATCCTGATCTTATATGGGAGACCCTTTATTTTTTTAAACCATGTCCCCTACTTCTGGAGAAATTTCTCTGAGAAAATTTGAACATTTGAATTAATTAGAATTAATTTTCCTAGTCAAAAGAACAGGAGTAGAAACCTAAGTTTTTTTTTAAAAACTCATTTACAATTAATCAAATTGTTTTTAAAACTGTTTGAGCGAGTGAGAAAGGTATTGATAATACAAAATTGAGCTTGAAGATATGAAGAGTTAAATGGGGTCAACCTAAACTTATGGAGAAGTCAAAATCCAGAGGTCCTAAATATAAGACCAGCAATGATAAGTCCAGGAGGGAGTTCAGAAACTGTTTCATGCAGTGGCTGGGGATGATATGTAATTTTCTGCTACAGGACGTAGTTCAGGCGAATAGTGTCGATGCATTGAAAGGGAAGCTGGATGAGTATAGAGTGATGAAAGATTAGAAGGATGTGCCAGTGGAGATCGATAAAGAATGGTGGAAGGTAACTCACTTAAATGCCAACATGAACCAGTTGGGCTGAGTGGCCTGTTCCTGTATTTACACTTAACCCCTTTCAGTGCTTTTCCTTACCACCTTGTAGGTTTCTCCCCAGTCCCAGTACTTATTGCTCCCTGTGCCGTCATTTTGTTAGAGTTTAATGCTACTCAACTGACCCAGGCGATGACCTTTGCATTTACAAGCATGTCTGATATTGCAAGATGTCCTGAGGTTGTGAAGGGCTTTCAAAACATGTGATGTAAATAAGTTGGCTTGATGGAAGATGAGTTGTGCAAAGACATTTGCTTCCAACTCTGTCTGATGAGGTACCTATTCCCAGGTACACAGCATGTATTGATGACCATGCATGCTGTCTCTGAATTTGAACATGGGAAAGACAGGCATTCATTTAACCTTGCAGCAGAAGATTAGAAAACCAAAGTGTCATTAGAAAAGAATTTGTTTGCCAAGCAACATGAACCTCTGTTAGTTGAATGTTTAGAATGGTTTGTTAGCCTGGATTATTATATAAAGGTAAATCGAATTATTTGACCAAAGTTAGCCTGAGCATATCTGATACTCAGTATGCTTGCTGATGTGAAATAAATCTGCTTAATTGGTGTGGTGAGCTTTGCTAAATTCTTCCTCAATCCAGATGCAATAACAGATTCTCAGCCTTCTGATTGTGATCAGAGAGCTGCTGTTGTATCCTTGGATTACTCTTGTTCTTTAAGATATTGGTGATTATGGGTGCGCACCTATAAGTAAGGTCATTCAAGGAGAGGCAGCTACATCTCCAAGGGTATCTGAAGTTAGGTCCAAACTTTCAATACATCTCCTTCCTTTTAGGTTTTGTGCAGTTTGAAATCAATGGGTTTTTACTAGACCAGCATCATTGTTGTCTTCACAGCCCTGTAGCACTAAGAATTATGATATTCTTTGTATCTCAGTCTGAGGTAAACACAAATAACATTTCAAAACTTCATTTCCAAATTAAACATAACCATGTAATGTCTAATTTTTTGCCGTTCAAATTCAGGGAAGCAAAGTGCAAACACGGGTTGGCCTACTGATGTTGCTGTCTACATGGATGACCAACTGTCCAATTGCTGTGACTCACTTCTTGCACAACCAAACCAATGTCCCTTTTGTATCCTTTTATGGGTTGTTTTCATAAGTTGGAGCTATTAATTGGCCTCTCTTGAGGACGAATATGGATGAGAATGGACCAGCAACGAAAGCACAATTCTCCACTGCGTAGGAGACTGAACATAATTATTTGAATGCTGGTCTCTGAATTGTTTTCTCTCATTAGATTTTTCCAGGTTGTACCTGTGAATGGAGGTGAGGATCAGTTTCTGAAAGGATTTTTATTTTTGTGTATTTGTCAGTTTTACTTTGTATGAAATCTGTTATCCACTGTCGCATACTGCTGTTTTTTTAGTCACAATTGTTTCATAATTTCAGTTTTTTGTTTCAGTTCTCATTCAGGAGAAAAATGTGCGCGAAGTTTAAAACAGATAGTGGCAATGAAAATGGTTAACTGAAAACAGAATTCTAAATATATTTTGTATGCTACATTTGCTGATGAGGAATACTTCCTAAATAACCACTCCAATTTTTGGTCACTTGCTTTCCTAACAACTTTGTTTCCAAGTTATTGGTTTTAAGGTTGCCCTTGACAATATTATTTAGTTAACAGCACAGATATCAGAGAACCTTGGGGAAGAGGAACAACTTGTGCAAGGTCTTTGTGCACTTCTGCTGGGCATCTGCATCTACTACAATGAGAATTCTCTGGAGAACTACACTAAGTAAGTGATTCCACAATCCCAGGGTATACAATTTCATGGAATAGTTGTAAAGAGATGATGTGGAACACTTTAGGAACAAAATGGAGCACCAGCTACCACCTGTAAAGATTGTGGCCTGCTAATCTAGTTTTTTAAAAACTGTGGCTAATATTGAAACATTTCTTTTGCATGCTGCTAATTATTTAATCAGAAGAATGGGGTTGGTTGGTTGCTCTGCATTAGCCAGTTCCCAAGTCGTCTTTCAAACCATATACCTGATTATCTGCTTACTGCCGAGTGCAGCATTAATTATATTTTTATTTGTTTGTGGGATATGGGTGTCAGTTTCTGGGCCAGCATTTATTGTGTATGCATAGTTGCCCTTTGAGAAGGTGGTGGGGAGCAACCTGCTGGCTCAGCTGCAGTCCATGTGGTGTAAATAGATCCACATTGCTTTTAGGGAGGGAGTTCCAGGAGTTCGACCCAGCTACACTGAAGGAACAGTGGCCATGTGTTTACAGGTCAGGATGATGAGTGGCTTGGCAGGGAATTGTGCCTGGCTATTTCTTCGTTATTCTTAAGCATTAGAATGCAGAAAGTTTCTAGCGTGCTGCAACTGCATTACCCATCCCGTAGACTGAATTTAGTGGATGTGGAAATTTAATCCCCCAAGATCCAGAACTTGCATTCCTTCCTGAGCCCTGAACTACTGGTAATTTCAGATGTTTGAGAAAGCTGATGTATTCCAGAAGTTGTAACTAAAGACTGACCATCAACATAGAAATAGCAGTCTTCATAGTCTTGGTGATGATGAGTTGTTTGTTTCATGAAAGGTTTCCAGGTGTTGAATAGCTGCTGCTTCTGGACAATGTCAACAAAACCCAAATTTACAGGTTTTTAATGGTCTTTAGCCATTTGAGGTTGAAGTTGAAGTTATCTTTTACATCCCTTAGAATCAATTCCAGTGTTGAAGCAAATGCAGCCATATCTGGTACCCATTGTTTGAAAACCATCTTAGTAGTAAACAGCAGTTAGAGGAGGTGTCAGGTGGCCTGCTTACTTGTGTAGTGCTTGTATGATTATGAAGTATTCAAGAAGGAGACCCATTAAATAGTCATGTGGATTTACAGAGTTCATGAAACTGCTCTTTTGTTATCCTTCCCAGAATGGTAGTCTTTAGTAGGTGGTCTTCAATGTATTAACTACAAGGTAAGTTGAACTTGTGCTTCTCTCCAAACAGGGAAAAGCTAAAGCAACTCATAGAGAAGAGAATTGGGAAAGAAATTTTCATCGAGAAGCTGGCTTACATCAGCAAACATGAGCTTTACTCTCGAGCTGGTCAGAAACCCCAGCCCAGCTACAACAGCCCAGAGCAAATGCTGTTTGACCACGACTTCACCAAATTAGTTAAAGAATTAGAAGGTAATCTTCACAAACTGAATAATGAAGTTCACTGTTACTAGTATGAAGCTGTTCTGCTGGGCATCTTCACTTCATACATAGCACCATCCTCTCTTTATTTCATTCAGTCACCAAAATGGCCAATTCTTTCCTTCTGCCTCAGAATTGAAGAAATGTTGACAAGGCTTCTTTTAATGAACTCAAGTCCCACACACAGGTACACTTGTACAACACAAAATTACCAATCTCTGTAGGGATATTGAACCTTTACAAAAAAAGAAGAAACAACTCATGGGCCAAAGTCTGGAAACAAAGAATAACATTTGGTAACTTCTCAAATTTGCCGAAATTTCTAGTTGATGTAGTTGAATTCCTTTATAACTATAGATAAATGCCTAGTTCTGATTCTAGCCAACTTGGATTCCAGTTTTTGAGAATTGGTCAAATCCACTACTTTGGGGTTGACCAGATAGATAGATACTGGTACTTGGAAATGCTGTCAGAGGAACTTCTCTTAAGAAATAGAATTTTACAAGAGACTGCACCTTTCTGGGGTGTCTTCTCTACTCATTGACTGCAGGATCTGCCAAAACAGAATTCGAAGACCCGAGAGGGATGCTGGATAACTATTAGCATTAGCCCCTTCTTCCCAGTTTTTACCTCCGGTGAACAAACCCCATTTCTTAACTTCTTGCTTTGCTTTGCTTTGCTGTTTATCAAAACTCACTTTTATTTTAAGAAAAAGAAAACCTCAGATGGCTTGCAGCACACATTGCACTTTTGACTTCAGTAATTAGCAGTTAGGTCACAGGCTACATAGTGCTGAATACACTTCCAAGTATCACAATCCTATCCATCCAGAAAATCTCGATGATTCCATCTGTTTCAGCTTCTTGCAAAAACTTTAAATCTAGATATGTATTCCCAATTATTATAGAAAAGAGTAGTGACTGCATTTCAGCAGTAATTCATTGGCCGTGTTCTGTTTGGTGACAATCTTGGGTATGTGAAAAGGAGCTCTGTATGTTAGAATCACTTGTATTCTTTGTAGCAGTGTAATTTTCTGCTTCTTTTCCTGTTCCCAATCCAGTCCTTATAACAAAGGCTGTCCAAAAATCAAGTGAGGATGAGAAGAAGGAAGAGGAGGTGAAGAAGTCTTTAGAGCAACATGACAGTATAGTAAACCAATACAAGGAACTTATCCGTGAACAGGTAACAATAATACTATATAACAAGGTGTGGAGCTGGAGGAACACAGCAGGCCAAGCGGCATCAGAGGAGCAGGAAAGCTGACGTTTCGGGTCTAGACCCTTTTCTGAAGATTTTTCCGAAGAAGGGTCTAGACCCGAAGCTCAGCTTTCCTGCTCCTCTGATGCTGCTTGGCCTGCTGTGTTCATCCAACTCTACACCTTGTTATCTCAGATTCTCCAGCATCGGCAGTTCCTACTATCTCTGTAACAATAATAGTATACCTTTTTTAAAGAACGAAGTTGAAGACTGTTTGAAGGTTGGGCATCAATATAAAGACATTGTGCCTTTTGACCGTTCTTAATAGATTTAACTGCTCGCAGCCAGTCCAAGATAGAATGCTTATCAAGGTACTGGCAAATATACTAGAGTCATATAGCATGGACACAGATCCTTTGGTCCAACCAGTCCATGCCGACCATAATCCCAAACTAACTAGTCCCACCCACCTGCACTTGGCCTTTATTCCCTCCAAACATTTCTTATTCATGCATTTATTGAAATGTCTTTAAACGTTGCAACTGTACCCGCATCACTGCTTCCTTCCACATGAACCATTCTCTGTGTTTTTAAAAAAAATTGCCCCTCATGTCCTTTTAAAATCTCTCTCCTCTCTCACCTTAAAAATATGCCATCTAGTCTTGAAATCCCCCACTCTAGGGAAAAGGCACCTGCCATTCAGCTCATGTAGACCCCTCATCATTTTCCAAACCTCTATTAAGTCACCTTTTCAACCTCCCATGCTCTCGTGAAAAAGATGCCAGCCTATCCAGCCTCTCCTTGAAACTCAAACCCTCCATTCCTGGCAACATTCTGGTAAATCTCTTCTGAACCCTCTCCAGCTTAATATCCTTCCCAAAACAAGTTGACCAGAACTGGACGCAATACTCCAGAAGAGGCCTCCCCAATGTCCTGTACAACTTCGACATAATGTCCCAACTCCAATGCTCAAAAGGTCTGAGCAATGAAGGTAAGCGTGCTAAACGCCTTCTTAACCACCCTGCCTGTATGTGATGCAAACTTCAAAGAATTGTGTATTGTATTTTCTGAGGTCCTAAAAATAGAATGGTTTTCCTATCCTGTGTGATAGTGGCATAGAGCTCAGCAACCATTGGTCATGGATGTATAGGGAATGACAAAGGAATGGCGGCAAAAGGGGCGGCACGGTGGCTCAGTGGTTAGCACTACTGTCTCACAGCACCAGTAACCCAGGTTCAATCCCACCCTCGGCCAACTGTCTGTGTGGAGTTTGCGCGTTCTCCCCATGTCTGTGTGGGTTTCCTCTGGGTGCTCTGGTTTCCTCCCACAGTCCAAAGGTGTGTAGGCTAGGTGGATTGGCCATGCTAAATTGCCCATAGTATTCAGAGATGTGTAGATTAGGTGGGTCATAGAGCGTTGTGACTGGGTGGGTTGCTCGGAGGGTCGATGTGGACTTGTGGGGCCGAAGGGCCTGTTTCCACACTGTAGAGATTCTTTGATCTATTCTATGAACCAAAAGTGAGGAGCAAACTTTCACAAAGCTCATGCTTCATATTATGACTAGTGGGGGTAATCCCAACTGATCAAACCATACCATTCATGTAAATGTTTTGATTCTGTCAGCAAATTTGACATTGTTTCCCCTTTTATTCATACTACCTAGAAAAAGAGGCTTTCATCTGGTTTTCTAATGATCTGAGAAAGGATTTTTTGATTATGAACAAAAGTGATTCAAACTGGCTAATAACTATGCTGTATGCCATAGTTAAACTATAAAGGCAAAATGGGCAAACATCTTTGTGAGACACTCGATTAAACTGAGAGTAAATGGGATGTCTTCTCATTGTTCCTTGAAATTCCAATCAATAAGTTTGAAATGTTGACAGCTGCAGAATAATGGAAAATATTCTGACCAGACATGAGGAAAGACAGTTAAACCAAGGTCTTTAAATGGAGTAACCACCATTGCTTTCAGGGTTTGAGGGAAGGAGACACTGATATTTGGAATGTTCCCAGAAATAGTTCAGCAATTCCACCCCCTGCCTCCCGCCCCCCCCCCCCAAAAAAACCATGGACATACCCAAGTCTCTTGAAAAACACAGAAACCAGCTCCACGGGAGCATTGCAAGTCAGCCTCCAGCACATAGACCCCAGTTCTCCCAAGTTGTCTAGCAGTTAAAACAATAAATCCCCCACCTGTTATCTCTTAAAAACTTTGCTTGTCTCCTTTCCAAAGTTGATCTTTCAGTAATTCACAGGTGACTACCAGTTCACATTACCTTGAACAATTCCAAGATGTCGCATGTCCCTTCATACCTTGGTAAACCATTTTAATGTCAAACATCCAAGTAGTTCCATATTCCAGTCTCTTTCAAAAAAACACATGCATTCCCAACATTAGGATTTGGAAAAACTGCCTTTGTGATTGGAAGGAGCAGGGTTTGCAATAACTTTCAAAAGGAATTGCATAATTATTTGAAGAGAAAATGTTTAGTTGACTGTAGATCATTAGCAGCTAGAGTGGGTCTTGTTAGATAGTGCTGCTCGAGGACTGGTACCGGTACAGTGGGGTGAATGGCTTTCAATTTTACACTATTACAATTCTCTACGATATGCATAAACGTGTCTTCCTTCTGGTAAGATGGTGGTGGAGTAGGACATCTGAGCCCGGGGTTCGTCTGCTCTGTCAGCTTTTCTTTTCGCTTTCCTTTCCTCTCCTTTTTTTTGCCTCTCTTCTCGCTTTTCTTTCTTCTATTTCATTTTACTTACCTGATGGTGAAAAGCTTGGTCATGGCAATGGTGGCAGCGAGTGAGCACAGCAAGGACTCGCACTGGTGTCGGAGGCGTGTTTGGGTTCCTGGTGGCACCAGTGTCCAGTGCAGATTCATGGCAGCGGTGCAGTACCTGGCAGCATCAGTGACATCTGCATCAGCAAGGGCCAGCAAGGACTCATAGTAGTGAGGGTGTTGGTGGATGATGCCAAAGGATGGCAAGTTTTTTGCTCCAGCGGCGGCAGCGATGGGGACTCGTGTCTGGCCACCAGGCCCCTGACCCACAACAGAGCACTTAACAAGGAGGAGTGTAAAGTTGGACACCTTCTTCGTTTCTTAATTTTTCTGCCTTTATGTTCTATGTTTTGATTTATTTTTGTGTTGTAAGATGGTGCTGCTAAGTGACGACACTGCGCAACACTTTTCACTGTATTTTGAAACAAGATATGTGTGCCAATAAATAAATTAAATCAATTCAAAATTATCCATCTGTTTCATTTAAATACAGGATCTGCAACTGAACGAATTGAAGAAACAAGTAACTGCCCTCACCAATCAGAATGAACAGAGTCAAACAACGATAACACAGCAAACATCACAGATTCAACAGCTGCGTGACCAGTATAATCTTCTCAAAATACAAGGTATGAAGTATTGTGAAATATTCCATTCATCCTTTTTTATTTTCTATTTAAAATCGAAGACAACAAGTTGATGAAAGTACAGAATTTCCAGAAATCTTCTCATCGACAAATTTAAAGTAAGATTCTTTTTGGACTGGGTGAACAACAATATTATGGAGATTGCATGAATTTTTAAAAAATGTTATCACTGTTGCCAGTTGTTGAGTGCACTTTTTCAAAACCGTTTTTAGCGTTTTGTAAGTAGCTGTCTAGAAAGTGGTGAAAAGATCCACTGTTTGCACAGCCCCTTCCCTCCAAAGATAATGTTTTCAGGATGGTATGACCACCATTGGGAGGATGTTCATTGTTTTGAATTTCTGAGCTGCGATAGTTTTTCTTTGGCCTTTTTTTAAATTGATCCCCATTTTCAAGGTGTGCTTTGCTGAAAATGAAACCAACCATTGGTATGCAGCCTGTAACTGAGCTGTTTCTCCACATTTGAACATGATCTGAGTACAATGACATCCGTTCATAAAAACTGGATTGGTGCAGGAAAGAGAAAAAGGGACAGAAATGAAAACTGGGTCATTCTATAAAATAAAAAAGCAGCTGGAATATTTCAATTTCTGCTGTTGAGACATTGCAAAACTTAACTCTTGTCCTTGCTCTGAAAATTAACGTCTGTTCCTGTACATTTCACCAGCATCAGGATATCCATTCAAATATATTAAAGACTAGCATAATAGACTTCACTTTGGTTAATTTAAGTTCAAAAAGTCTCTAACTTGTTGTTTTGTTGCTTAGGTAAACCGCTAGACAGCCAACATCACATTCATAATGAGGCAGCTCAGATCAATGGCATTCAACCTAAAGCAGACATGGAAGAAATTGGAAGGTTGCGAGAAGAAGTTGAAGAATTGAAGAAGCAGCATAATGTATTAGAAGGACAGCTGGCTGAAAAGGAGTCCGTGATTGATAAACTGGTACTAACCGTTTGATATTTTACCCATTAACTTTGCCTGGATTAGAGCCTGGTGAGAGGAAATGGATCAGATTGCACACGAGCAGATGGGCAGCCCAGTACGTCCTTCCAGAAGCAGTGATTTCTTGTAGGCAATAAACAGAGAATGAGTTTTTTCAGACTTGCCTAGAACTTTAAAGCATAGAAACAAGCCATTCGGCCCATTAGTCTTCTACAAGTTTTATTGCCCCAACTGAGCCTCTCCCATTTTTAATTTATCTTGCCCTATCAATGTATTCTGCCATTCCACAACTGTTTATCCAGCGTTCCCTTAATTGCATCTGTACTTGTTACTGTACCCATTCCTTGGTGGTTTCCATGTTCCAACCATTCTCTCAATTAAGTATTTTCTGTTGAATTCCTTGATCACTACTGAGTCTAATGTTTTAGCTTTATGGTCCCTACTTTTGGATGCCTCCCAGTGGAGATACCACCTCTGTATCTACCTATCAAATGATTTCATATTTTTAAAAGGGCTCTGCCAAATTTCCAACAAAGAATCTAACCATCACCCTTCGACATTCAATGACAGCGTTATCATCACTGAATCCCCCAGTCAGCGTTCTGGAGGTACCATTGACTAGAAGCTAAACTGGACAAGCCATATAAATACTGTCACTACAAGAGCAGCTTAGAGATTGGGGATCCTGCAGTGAATAACTCACCACCTCTCTCCCAAAGCCTGGCCAGCATCTACAAGGCACAAGTCAGGGGCTTGACGTATACTCCTCACTTGCAACTCCAACAATGCGCAAGGAGCCTGACTCTATTGTGGATAAAGCAGCCCGCTTGCTTAGAAATGCATCAACAAACTTTCACTGCCTCCACCACTGGTGCTCAGCAGCAGCAGTATGTACTATCTACAAGATACACTGCAGAAATTCACAAAAGCTCCTTCCAAACTCTCAAACCACTGCAATCTAGAAGGACAAGGGGAACAGATACATGGGAACACCACCCCCTGCAAGTTCCCCTCCAAGTCACTCACCATCCTGACTTGGAAATATATCGCCACTCCTTCAGTGTCGCTGGGTCTGAATCCTGCAGTTCCCTCCCCAGGGGCATTGTGGGTCAACCCATAGCACATGGACTGCAGTAGTTCAAGAAGGCATCTCACCCCCACCTTCTCAAGGAATGGCCCATCTGGCCCAGCCAGCAATGCCCACCTTGCATGAATGAATAAAAAGAAAATGATCTACTATTCACACAGCTGTGTCCCATACTGTTGTCTACTCTCAGTTGAGAGACTTTTTATTCACTTGAGGGACATGGGCATTGCTGGCTGTCCAGCCTTTTATTGTCTTTCCCTAGTTGCCCTTGTGAAGGTGGTGGTGAACTGCCGAATTGAATTGCTGTAGTCCACGTGCTGTGGGCTGTGCTGATAAGTGCTGTGTTAACATGGGAAACGGGAGTAGACCATGATCAAATCTGCTCAACCATTCAATCTCTGTGGGCCATTTTCTTTAACCAATTGCTTATGCTTTCAAGAGAGCAAGTTGAGATTTTGGCAGCAATAGTTTCTTTGTGTGCCTAATGAGTTTAGTTTCAGTCCGGACAGTGCAATTTTAATTGTAACTAATTTTTCTCAAGTTTGGTCAGTTGGTGCCTTAGAATATTTCAGCATAGTTCTGTAGAAAAGTTTTAAGTACTGAACCGAATTGAAATGGAGATATCTGATTTAATGATTCTATAGAGGACTGCTCAGTCAACAGGAAACCTAGCTGAAGTCGCCACGGATGTTGCTGGTGATCAACAAATGGATCAGCACAAGGTGGGGTTTCTTTCCTATGTCATGTGTTCAAGATGGTGCATATGATCGTTCCAATGTGTTATATTTAACCAGTCATAATTCAGGATTTTTAAAAAAAAAAAACCATGAATGTTTACTCACCCCACACAAATCATTGGAGCTCTGTCGAGAACCTGTTAACAGTTATACACATGGTCAAAAAGTAGCTATTATTCTCTTCCTTATAAAGCATTCCTAAAAGTACAAGGGTATGATCTGATCACAGTGATTTGCCCCCATTAAGTTCATTTTACCTATTTATTTTCTCAGTGCAAGTTAATGACTGGTGCTGCACAAACAAGATTCTTCTTTCACTTGGCAGTTCAATAAAATCAGCTGAGTAGTCAAGTGATCCACTGTAAAGTTTGTACTAGTCTCTCTGAGCTGGCCAGCATGAGAGCCATAGGTCAGTGACTTTCTGCTGCACTTTACTTCAGTTTCTCGGGTTCCTCTTGGTCTTGGCTTGGTGATTTCAGAGATTGGGAGTGCAGTGGAGGTAGAGGAAATGCATCTCAAAACCCATCCATTAGAATCCCAAGGTAAGGTGCAGTAGTTCACTATTCCACCTGCTGTGGCAGTGTGCCCTGAAATGGAGGATTCTTGGAGGAAGTTCATTCAGGCAACATGACTACACAGAGCATTTGCATAACGTTGCGTGGAATTTGATGAAAGTTAAAAATCAAGGCATGGTAGTCACATTTTGGATGCATCCCAAAAATATTTAACCATTCTGTGAAAATCTCCTTGATTCCTCCTCTCGAAGAACTGTGGATACATTTTTCCACGTCAGCATTCTGTATTTGTTCAGTTTCCAAATGTGGAAAGAGCTTGTCAAGCAGCTGTAGGATATGTCCAGTCAGAGCCAGTTTGAGAAATTTGAGGTTTTTACATGCAGCTGATTATTACCAGATGGCAGAGACTGATGTGAAAAATCAAACCTCTGTATTCTGGAGGTCTGTTTGCTGTAATGGAACATGGCCAAGTGAAATGCTTGTCACTTTAACTGTAAAAATTGTCACAGTGTCCATCTATCTCAATTTTGTCTTTCCAAAGTTGCGAAATAAATAAAAAACTGCGCAGTTGGTCTATAAGCTCTGAGAAAAGAGAGAAAATAAAAGTTAATATCTGATGTTAAACTACTTCAGTTAGATCATTTCTGGAGAGTCTGTGTTGACCATTGGCTATATTCGCTAGGAGCGTGGAGCTGGAAATTGTTGAGAGCTGATGAATCAATGACATCATGAAGTGTTTTTATGCTATGAAAGGTGTGGGTGATCAAGTCTGCATGATTGTCACATTATAAAGAGCATTGAATTGGATGTGAGCCACTCTTTGCCTGTTAGACCGAATGACTGACGACATTTGTTTGAGCAAACTAATCCCATGCATTTTAACAGAAATTACTGATGATTCCTAGCAATAATGGTGACCATTGCTGTATTTAAAAAGACCGTTAGAGTTAGCATAATTAAATTGATGGGCTTCTCACAAAGATTTAAAACCTTAAACCCGAGTGCAGAGATTAGCCAGCTCAGTTTGAGACTTAGAGAATCTGGTAAGACAAAGTTAGCAGTCTTTCCTTCAATTTTGTTTTTGCTCAGTTAGCTGTCACCTTTGTGGATGTCTAGGCCAAGCTGTCCTTGTGAAATCGTCTGCTTCAAAAACTAAACTTTAGCAATGCATTGTAGCAGCATGCCATGTCAATTTTCTCCCTTGCTCTTTAAGATGCTGCCTCTTTCAGAAACATTTCTTGCAATTGTCTATTCAGTATGTTCAATCAGACCAAGTATTTAACTGGGAATGGCATCAGAACGGAACCAGATTCCAACCCCCTCCAGTGCATTTTCCAGCTGGAGCAGCATCACGTGATAACTCATTCCCTTCCTAATTCCAGGGCATTGTTCCTCAAGCAGCTGGCCATTAAAGTGGCACTTTGGTTTCCTGCAATGCTTTTGCATGAATCTTTCATTTATTTGTGTGCGTTCACTAATCCTTCATTAGATCATATATCTCGGGGCGGAGGCTTGTGTTGGCTTGAATGTATTTCGATTCCACTTGTGCCCCACATGATTTTTTCCTTTTCTCTCGCCCATCCTCCACATTTTTCCTGCTGAAAACTGGAGCGTATTATGACTGGCCAATTCGTGAGCTATGGTGTCGCTCATTAAAATAGAACTCCTGTTTCAGTGTCACTACCATTTAGTTAATATCATTTAATGGTGTATAGGCTTCCTTGCATGTTCAGCTCTACCTGTAGTAGGCAATTGAATATTTCTAACGCCATTGAGCATAGGAGTTGCCAGCCACACATGGCAACATGTAGAACCATGCAACTGATTTTTCAGTGATTATGAATTTTCTGTGACTTCGAGCAAATTCTGTTCGAAGTAGATAATCTTGTTTCTTTCACTGGGCATAAGAATCATTAGCATTTCACAACTACCTTTAAATTTATTTTATTCATTCATTTGATGTGGGCATCACTGACACTTTATTGCCTTTATTGTTCATTCTTAATTCGGGGTAAGACTGCAAGCTAATGACTGTATAACTGTATGTACAGAAAGTGTACAGCTTTAGAACACCTTCCATCAAATGCAGTTGTTGTGACTTGTGCAAAAAAAATTAGTGTATCTCTTGAAACTTTTAACTTTTTATTGATTAGCTTATCTTCTTCAAGTACAAACTCGGAAAAGGATAATGACAATATTTTTTGTGAATTAATCTGTGACAATCTAAATCTGTTCACTTGCACTTTGGCATCATATTTAAAGCTTGTGGGCACAGCAGAAGCATCGTTGAGGGATAATGACAGTGATTCTGCAGCAGTGAAGATTGGACAGCTTGAAAACAGACTATCAGTATTGGAGGATGAGAATAAAACATTAAAGGTAAGCTATAAGTTAGTCCATTGTGTTGTCATCTAAGAGATACCACTCGACTAAAGCTTTCAAACTGAAAGTGTTTGGTGCTTGAGTTATATGTTTTGGTTGTAGTTTAATTTTAACATAATTTGTGCTAGGTTGCTTATTTATTTCAACCTGTGTCACTTTAAACCAGGGTGTTATCCATCTGGTTGCAACATTGCAAGATCAGGCATTTATTGTGATAGCATGACCCGTTGTGTTAAATGCATCAACTTCACAATCCATGATATGAACAACATAATGGTTCACTCAATTTTTATAATGATTCTACTCTGAATCTCTACATTCTATACCTACTACCACTAAATCATTCTGTATCAAAGATCTGTACCAGTGTCTTCAGAGTAACAATGTGGAACTAGCAAAATCCATTCAGTTCCACTCAATCTATTCCAATCATTCTTTTGTTGTGGCTTTATTACTGGTGCAGACACTTCCTATCACTTTATTGGAAGTGGAAGTTACTGGATTAACATCATCCAAACCATTAGAAACATTGCTGAATAAATCTTATGCATCCCATCATCCCCCTCTCTAAGACAAGACCCTTGCCTTAGATCTAGTTATGCCATATGCCCCATGCTCAACAGAAAATTGTTTTGTTTGGTTTGATTTGTTGTCGTGTATCCCTAAGTACAATGAAAAGGGCAGATCATAGTAAGCAAGGACATACAGATCATAGCGTGCTTGGACAGAATGAGGCATACAAGGTTACACTGCACAGGAGGTGCACAAAGCAAGATCAACATGATTGCATGCCATAGCTCGCGACATTGCGGTACTCTGCTAGAGTGGACCCTGTTTTTCTCCCAGCATGTTCTTCATGTTTAAGCAGAATGTAGTACTGGATCTGCTTTTGTTGATTATCCATTGCTCACTTCTTCATTTCACTGGTTTAACCACCACCTCCTGTTCAAGAGCAGCTGGAGTTTGGCAATAAGCAATGGCCTTTCTCAAGATACTCTAATCCTATGAATATTCTTAACATTCCAAATGTAACTTTTGAGCACCAGTATCCAATCTCCTTTTAATCATTTTGACTGAAATAAGAGTCTGCATAAACTTTTTTTTTTGATTGCAGAGGGTGTGACGTGTTAAAGGACTAAATTGAATGTTAAGATTGCAGCTTCATTTGGGATTATTCTGTTTTATTCATATGTACAGGATCAGTTAAAGATCTTGACAGAGGAGAAAAAGTCCCTTGATCAACAGCTTGCGTCAACAAACAGTACAATTGCCATCCTTGAAACTGACAAGAGAAAGCTCCAGCAAGAGTTGACAGAATCAAAGAAGGAACAGGATGATCTGTTGGTGCTTCTCGCAGACCAAGACCAGAAAATCTTTGGATTTAAGAACCGGCTCAAAGAGCTTGGAGAACCAGTATGTATGCCATTGCAGCATTAATATTTTAATGACTAAGTGAGTTTTTGCTGTGCCACTTAATGTGGTTGTATCACAGTCTGTGTGCAAGTTTTATCTGGTCCTTTTTATTTATGGTAGAAAATCTAAATTGCTCTAATTAGAACCAGGCAGGTATTTGAACATGTTTAGGCTAATACAGTATAATCACCAGAAACCCTAATTACCTTTAACTATTAAATACACATCAAAATAAATTTGATCAGTTAATTGGGTTTTCTGGCTTTCATATTTGCATAAAACCAATTGAAAGTAAATTTGTTGTTCTGATTCAAAAACAAATTGCACTTAAATGCCTCTTACGTTGTATGATCATCATTATGACTAGGCTAAAGAACTTAAGGGGCTTGATTGGGCAGGATAGTGCAAGAAATGAGGGAGACCTGGAGCTTCATGAGCGATTGTGTGATGGCTTTATTTGCTGAGTTTAAGGTGATTCCTCCGCTATTTAATCTGTAGAAGGGGCACTTCTCACCATTACTTGTTGCTCCTTGGAAGTGCCTATGGAGGGCTCTTCTGGTACAGTTGTAGTGTCCCTACCTCTGGAACAGAAGACCTGAGTTCAAGTCCCACCTGAGGTGGTAGAGGCGGGCACGATAGCGTCACTTAAGATGTATCTAGACAGATACATGAATGGGTAGGGAGCAGAGAGATACAGATCCTTGGAAAATAGGCGACAGGTCTAGATAGAGGATCTGGATTGGCGCAGGCTTGGAGGGCCGAAAGGCCTGTTCCTGTGCTGTAATTTTCTTTGTTCTTTGCTCCAGAGATGTCGTAGCATCCCTGAACAGGTTGATTAAAAGCACTTTTTTTTTTTTTTTTGAAGTGCATAATGGTTTTGAAGTGAGGCCCCATTGATGGAGGGTGGCTGTGTAGAGGCCTTGTCTTGTCCTGAACCTGTTTAGCAAAGACCACTCTCACCCTGTAGTTCACAGCCTGCCATTTGATGGATGGGGTTTGTCACAAGGAGCGTGTTCATCTCTTCCTGTGATTCTCAATCCTTCATTGGAAGGAAGTCTGCTGCTGGATCTCACCCAGAAAGCTTGCTCCGTCTGAGGTACAAATATACTTAAATAGCGCAGGGAGCAAGTGATTGAGGCAAAGAACATCTGTCTGTTAAAGGGAGGGCCTAGTTAACACATGAGGGAGAAAGCAAAAAAAGCATATGCAAATAGGGTGAGAAGGAAGGAAGCTCATTTGGAGAATAGACTAGTTGGATCAGTCGGCTTGTTGTGCTTTAAATTATTTTATTCACATCCAGGAAATGCAACAGTAGTATGTTAGGCGTGTTGTTTAGGATTGGGAATGTGAAGTTGACAGAACAAATCTTATTGATCCAAGTAAATGGCCTTTGAGCATTATTTCGAGCTAATTGGCAATTGATTTGAGAGTGCGAAGTTTTATTAACCATAAAATATGATCTCCATTTCTTATCTAATCCGATATGGAGTGTGATGCTAAACCATGTTGTTTGTTTTCTCCAGGTTGAGGATGAAGATGACCTGGAGTCTGCTGACCAAGAAGATGATGATGATGATGATGATGATGACGATGAAGATGATCCAAACTAATTGCATAACGATGATATACAGGCAGAATGAGGAAATGTAAAGAAGATCAAAGCTTCTGTTACCACAGGATGCAGAATGTAGAAACAGAGTTCAGAATGTTTTGTTTTTCTTTTGGAAATGGGTTTTGAAATAAGTTTAATTGTATCTTCTACCAGTTGCAGAAGTTTGCTTACTGGGTAGGAGAGAAACTTTTCATTTTTAAACAATTAAAATTTTAATAAAACAATGTTGTTTTTCTCCATTTAAGGGAAAAAAAAAGCATTCCCTCAAGGTACACTAAGCAGATACTCATTGTTGGAGTGAAGAGTAAGCTAACCACCTTTAGTCTACAGTTATGCCTGTATAATTTGACCTAGTGTTGCAATATGTTGTATTATCTAGAGAATGCGTTATTGTGGGAGCTTGCAGACCAACCTGGAGTTTAAAAGCAGCCCTTAAGAACATGGCAAAATGTCAAGTCAAGAATCTGGGCAACTACTTGTCTTACACAACTCTTCTGTGAGATCTGATTGAACCTTAATAGCTGCTGTTTACCAGCAATTTCATTGATTTACCTAAGCTGCTGTATCTGACAAGTATAAGAGCAGTGTGTTGCAGGAGATCAGTGTGGGCCATCTATTTTGCCGACCTTTGCATCAAGTCAGGGCATTGCCTCTTACAGTGAGGATTTGTAGGTAAATGAAAGTTCACTGGCCTTTCTGAATTGAGGCCATTTGCTGGGAAGCAGCTGAACAGTCATTGCCCTGATTCATGTCAGCCTGTCACACACAGAGGATCTAGTGTGCCTTTTACATTGTTCAGAAACTATGCTCTGTCCCTCAGATTCAACAACGCATTGAAATGTATGCTGTGAAGTTAATAACTGAACAACATTTGAACAGTTTGGAATTACCGGTATTGCATTAATGTTGATTATTTACTGACGATGCCACAAACAGATTTATTTCTACGTCTACAGCTGTATTGCAGAGAAATGAGATTCTGTATGATTTATATAATTTATTGGCTGTTATGCCAAATTGGAATAGAATGAGATAGTACACTTTATAGAGAGAGAATGTAATTGTGTTTTGGAAATAAAGTTCATATGAGAGATTTCAGATAAATGTTTTTACTAGTTTCATGCAATGGAATTTTTATAACATTCTTCTGTCCTATTAGAGGTTAAACAAAATCAAGTTATTGTTGTACAATAAATATTATCTGATTTACTGGAATGTTATTTACTTTTGGATGTGACCAGGAATACAAAGTGACTAACTTGATGTTGGTTGGTTGGTTTCCCAACAGATTATAATAATTGCTGTACCTACTGAATAGTTGACTGTACATTTCACTGTTTAAATCTAGTAACAAGAAGTGTTATGGCTTCTTGCACATCCCTGATCTTCATTACTCCAACATGGGGTTCAGGGAACTGAATGCCAAATAACAGGAATTCTCAATTTCTCCAGCTGTCAACCTTTCTCTCAAAACTTGAATCATGGACCAAACCTCAATTTACCTGTCCTCATGTCTCCTGTAGCTTGGTGTTAATTTTATTTTTAAACCCTTCTCTCAAACTGCCTTGAGATGTTTTATTGTCACTGCGATACAGCACAGAAGGAGACAATTTAGCCCAACATGATGTTTGTGCTGGTTCTCTGAAGGAGTAGTTTACCCAGTAAAACTTGCTTGCCTTCTCCCTGTAACACTACACATTATCCCTTTTCAAGTAGTAATCTAATTGCTGCTTGAAAGTCTCCACCACGTTCACCAGCACACCCTGGGTCCCAAACGCTTGCTGCATGATAATTAATTGTTGTTGCTGCTTCTGCCAATTATTGTAAATCTTTGCCCTCTGTGTCTCACTCTTTTCAGTGGGAACTTTGTCCTTATCTACTGTCTGGACTCCTTTTCTCATAACCTTAAATAGCCCCAACTTTTCCAATCTGTCTACATTTAATGTCTCAGGACTGATCTATTAGTGCATCAGATTTGAACATCCATGAGGTGCTGCGGGCCACCAGCTGCAGAATTGGTTTCAGTCATAATCTGATCTCATGGTGCAGAATATATCTATCTCCTGGCATTGCCGTCGAGCCCAGGGATCACCGTAGCTGAACAAGGAGTAGGAGAGCATGCCAGGAGCAGCAACATACAGAGCTCAAAGTGATCAGTCACTGTGATAAAGCTGCCATGCAAGACTACAGTAAGGTGAGTTCTCCTACCAATGCATCAAATACACTACAGCAATGACATCTGTCTGACAAAATGGAAGATTGCACAAGTCAGTCCTGCTGGCCTACTGTCCATTACCAGAAAAGTGATGGAGGGAAAACACTGACAACACTAATTAGTGACCTTCACCAGTAACAGCTTCCTGCTGAAGTTCTGCCAGAAATATTCAGTGCACACTTCATTACAATCTTGACCCAAATTTGAATAGAAGAGTTAAACTCCAGAGATGCAAATAGTGACTACCCTTTATGTTTTTAACCAAGAATGCGACTAGGCAGCCCTAGCAAAACACAAGTCAATAGGAATCGGGGGAAACTCTGATTGTAGAGGTTATACAAAGGAACATGGCTGAGACTGTTGGAGGTCTTTCCCATCAGCTCTCAGGTATGGCCATCTACACAGCCACAGCAACATCTTAGCAAGCTTCTTCAAGATCTTCAGCATCTTCCAAACCAGTGATCTCATCAGCAAAAATGGAAAGGTCAATTCTCTACCAAAATGTTAGCATTTATAACAGAGAGCATTACTGGCTCGGCCAACTAATTGCTCTTGAGAACATGGTTGAACTGTTGCAGTCTTGGAGTGTAGAGTCTCCTATGTTGCTGTTTAGGGAGTTCCAGGATTTTGACCCAGTGACAATGAAGTAACAGTGATATACTTCTAACTGAGCAAGGGAAGAGATTTAGGAACAATTCAAAAGTGATGGTATTCTTATGTATCAGCTGCAGAGTTAACTTTGCTCCACACAGTCCTAGACATTGTGTTTTGCAGTGTATGTAATCATCGGGCAATGTACTGAGCTGCTTCTACCTGTGCAAAGCAAACAGCTGTCTGCCAATGTAGCCACAGGAATGAGTTTATAATAGTTATTTCATTGTGCCAAATATGCACTCCTTCATGTCTAGACAAAAAGCATTTTGTGACTATCAACTGTTGGGAGTGGATAGGTGTGCTCGGTCTTACAGTTTACTCCTGAAATCGGTCAGATTCATAAACATAAAGATTATCATAGAATCCATACAGTGTGAAAACAGGCCATTCACCCCAACAAGTCCACACTGATTCATCTCACTACCCTATAACCCTGCATTTCCCATGGATAATCCACCTAACCTACACATACCTGGGCACTACGGGTAATTTAGCAAGGCCAATCCACCTAACCTGCACGTCTTTGGACTGTGGAAGGAAACCAGAGCACAAGCAGAGAATGTGCAAACTTGACATTGTCGCCTGAGGCTGGAATTGAACACGGGTGCCTGGTGCTGTGAGGCAGCAGTGCTAACCACTGAGCCACCTGATATCTTTTACTTATATAATTCTTAAATTCATATTTGCAAGGTGTACTTTTTATTTTGTGGGAGTGCTTATTTGTGGGACTAGAATTAAGGTTATATTTGCAACAATGATTTTTTTAAAAATTACAGTCTGTTGAAGTCTCCTCGGATTTACGGATGAATTTTTGGCGGTTGTGGGTTTGCTTATTGGAGCGGCCGAGCTTGGGCGTTTTGATATCTAGATGATGTGGTGGATAAGTTGGCTTCCACTCGAAGAACTGGGCAACCAGATCAAGACCACCCTCTCCCACCCTTTAAGACAAATGCGTATTTATGAAATAGGAGCAGAAATAGACCTCTCATCCCCTTGAGTCTGTTCTGCCATTCAATAAGATTGTGACTGATCTGTTTGTGTTTTGAATTCCACTTTGCCATCTACCCTCACTGACCATTGATTTCCCCTGTCTGCCAAGAATCTGACCACCTCCACCTTTAAAAGTATTCCAGGACCTCCAAAACCTGCAGAGGTGGAGCTCAGAAACCTACAATACTACACCCTCAACGTATGAGAGGCAAGATTACAAAAGTGCTGACTGGTTTGAAGCTAAGTTAATGTCAAGCATCCCACTCTCATTAATTGCAAACGAGATACAAGATAGAAAATGGCACTGATAGGTGGTATGCCAATGACTGCTGTGATGTAAGGTGTGAAATTTATATATATATAAAAATATATTTTGGAATTTGAATTTTTAACTCGTGGTCTTTTGGTTTTGGTTTGTGTGTAAGAGGAGGTTTAATGATTAATATCTTAGTTTCTGGAGCCATGTATTTTTTTAAGGGTGTGTGTCCCTCAAGTGACATTGGAAATTTGTTTGCATTGTGAGATTTTTTGAGTGGGACGGTGAAACATTGAAAAGCATTAGTTTGCTTTTGGTTTAGAAGGATTGGGAATTAATTTTCTTTTGCTTAGGAGAAATACCCATAGCTTGGAAGATCTTGATTAAAGCTCGTAATAAGAACAAGAACAGAGATTGTTCAAAACAGTTGAAACATAGGTTAGCTTAGTGTAAGGGTTTCAGTTTGAAATTCCAAACCAGAAGTGTTTGGTTAGAACTCTGAAGGGGTTACTTGAAGCCAATGAAGTCAAAGCTCAGTTGTGTGATTAACGAAGGAAGATGGTGTCAGACTCTCCAGAACCAACTTTGAAAGCAACAGTTAAGTCGAGCCTATAGACGTGAAAGATAATGTTACTCTCTCTCCTATTTAATTACTGTAAAATATATCGTTTGGAATAAATGAAACTTTATTTTACCATGTTTTTTGGAATCTTTCAAACTGTTATGTAAATTGCTTGTTTTATTCTATCTTCATTTCTTTAGCATAATAAACTGGTTTTATCAATAAAATTGAAATCTGCATCAGTGTGTTTGTATCATCTCATTGAATGAAAGAAAACTAAGTATGACCTAATAGACCAGATTTCAGTCTAGTACCTGACTTGTTCAATAGTAACATCATCTGGCATTGTAACATTACCAATTACAACTCAGCAAAAAATGCAGATAACCTTTGAGTCAGGGATTGCAAGGGCATGTGTAACAGGATCAAACGGCAGCAGGTCCATCAATGAAATAAAATGCTACATAGAAAACAAAAGTGGGAGTTTCAACATTAATAGCAATGAATAGGTGGAGAGATCAATAAAGTGCCACCTTCAGATGTGTTCTAGAAAGAACACTCATAGAAGGAGTGCATAGAACATAGAACAGTACAGCACGCTACAGGCCCTTCGACTCACGATGTTGTGCCAAACTTTTACCAAAACCTAAGGTCTATCTAACCTCCACCCCTACCTTATACTATCATCCATACGCCTATCTAATGCCCCTAATGAGGCCGACTCCATTACCCTCTCCAGCAATGCATTCCACGCCCCGACCACTCTCTGAGTAAAGAACCTACCTCTGACGTCTCCCTTATATCTACCTCCACTGACTTTAAAACTATGCCCCCTCGTGCTACCTCCACCTTAGGAAAAAGTCTCTGGCTGTCTACTCTATCTATACCTCTGATCATTTTGTACACCTCTATCAAGTCACCTCTCGTCCTTCGTCATTCTGAAGAGACAAGCCCTAACTCTCTCAACCTTTCCTCGTAAGACCTTCCCTCCATTCCAGGCAACATCCTGGTAAATCTCCTCTGCACCTTTTCCCACGCTTCCACATCTTTCCTGTAATGAGGCGACCAGAACTGGACACAATACTCCTGATGTGGCCGAACCAGGCTTTTGTATAGCTGGAACATAACTTCACAGCTCTTGAACTCAATCCCTCTATTAATGACAGCTAACACACCATACGCCTTTTTAACAACTATATCCACCTGGGTGGCAGCTCTCAGGGAACTGGACATGAACCCCAAGATCCCTCCGCACCTTCACACTGCCAAGAATCTTTCCGTTAACCCTGTATTCTGCTTTCAAGTTTGTCCTTCCAAAATGAATCACCTCACACTTTTCAGGGTTAAACTCCATCTGCCACTTCTCAGCCCAGCTCTGCATCCTATCAATGTCCCTTTGTAACCTAGAACAGCCCTCTGCA